CAGTTTCAATAACATACAGGGTTATCAGCACAAAATGTAGAAGTTACACAGAAACACCATAGCACACGTAAGAAACATATATGCAGACGCAGGGAGAACATGCAAACTCCCATCAGAAAGACCCTGTTCCGACTGGGATTCAAACCAAGGTCACTCTTGCTGAGAAGCAGAGGTGCTAACTACTCAACCACCAAGAGTTAAGTTGAGGTATAGTGCTCAGGCTAGTGGAAACGAGATACAGTACTAATGTATAACAAGATATGTAAATATATGCTAATAGGACAAAATTTGACATGTCCTAAGCATTTCTTCATTCATTTTAAGCTATATCAGAAGAGAATTGCTTTATGAATTGATAAAAAGTGTGAAATGTAAAATGTGGCAACACTGATACATTATGGTCAAATGGGGAATATGTTTGTTCGATTTTGTTGTTTGAAAACCACTAACAATACGTTTATGTTTAATTAAATCTCGTTGCTATAACAAAACTAATCCAGCATATTTTGTCTTTTCATATTGTTTTCAAAGCATATGACAACATTTTGAAATCCATTCATATCGGCTCATGCACTAATTCTACATTTTCGACCATTATCTTTCGTGTCAAAGTGCCTCATCTCAGGGTCTTGGTCTCAGTCCTGTACTGGTCTCCTCTGGGTGCTCTGACACGACCTCGGCTTCCTTTTTCGTCAGAGTGAGAAAAGCAGGATATATTTAGCGATGGATCTTCCTTCTCTGACACACGCTCACAGCACCTTTGCAGACCGGACTGTTTTTGGCTGCGCTTTCGGACACTGTGTTAATACAAGTCGACGTGTGCCAATCTAATCTAAAGCTTTCGGAGAAGATTCCAAATCATAAAAAAATCTTTGGCTTTCAACACCAGGAAACAGGTGATGAAAAATAAGTTAAATATTGCTCAAATTTGGCGAAAGGTTTCTTCATTTGAGCACATTCTGACTGCCTAGAACAACATTTGCCGATGGAACAAGCACAACGATGTTATTTTAAAAAGATACAAGAAAGGTCTCGAAATAAGACTAAATTGCTTTGTCTCATTGTCCCACAGTCAGAATGTTCTCAACTCAATTCACAAAGTTTTTCACCTCACATTTCATCATTTTTTCAAGTGTAGCAAGAGACAAGTGCATATTATTTTGTTGTTGTATGTCTTTTTATTGTTGCTGCTTTTTCACTCCTCTGTACAGCACTTTGGTAATACTAGGCTGCTTGTTAATGTGCTTTACGAATAAATATTGATTAATTGATTGAAGTCACAACAATGCACCCATGACATACAGTAGCTAGAGGTGCAAAAGCTAGCAACCTTCTCATCATCGGTGGTATGACAAAAGTACGGCCAACTTGAAGTGCATAGAGCTTTCTGATCCGATTTCTCACTTTTGGGCCCTGTCTTGTCCCCTGATCTTAATCCAACTGAGAACTCTTGAGAACTTTGGGGTGGATGGCGAGGGAAGATACCAAAAATGGTCAACAGTTCCAGACAGCAGATGCCCTTTGTGCGGCTTTCTTCAACACTTGGAGAAAATGTTCCCACTCACCTTCTGGAGACACACGCATCAAGCAATCTGCAATGGGTTTGTGAAGCGATCGAGAAAAACAGTGAAGCTACTCATTGGGTTGTCTATGGAAACGAGAATCTGGAAATGTCATGATCCCCTGTATAAATAAAGTTGTTATTTGGTGCTTGTTTTTTTATTTTGACATCAGTTCTCAGTTTTGTTTTATCTATTATCTCTTGCTTCCTGTCTTGTTGCCTTTTGGATAATTTATATATCTATATGTGTATGTTGTCATTGGCCTTTGTCTCTTGTGTTTTTCCCTGGTTCCTATGTTAAAATTTTGGGTTTTCCAATTTGACTTTCACCTTGGATTTCCATTTTTTGTAAGTAGATGTTTTTATTCTACATACTTTTTGAGTCCTTCCTTTTTCAACACGTGTCAAATATGTAAATAAAATAGTGATTTCACTGAATTTTGGATTCTTATCTGTTAACTGTTTTTTTGTGGGGATTTATTTTGTTGTTGCATATAGTCGTCAACTTGGAATCTTTTTCCATTTTTCAAGCGGTCCGGAGCTTTTGATTGGGACTGTGTTATGTAAAAAATTATATTTGCAGCAAAAGCAAAAGTCCAAATATATATTTATTACCATTTATAGACATTGGTCATCCCACTCCCTATGGACCAATGGCTTCTATGCATTTGTTATCATTGGATTTTCTATGTTCAAACTGATTGATTCTCAAATCTTTTTTTGGTGAATCTTATTTGTTGAGCTCTCAAGAGACAATTTAGTGCAATAAAAAAAAATATATTGATTTGAATTGAATAGAAGAGCCAATTATGACAAAACCTATATCAAAGTATTTCAAAAGCGGTCTATTTTCTGGCTCTATTCTTGTGGAGGAAGGCCAATAATTACACATTGCACCTTGGAAATGCCAGGCCAGAGGTGCTACACGCTTCACACTTCTCAGTCGGAGCGTTTAAAAAGGCCAAACTCGCCTCAGGTGCCCAAAAACGCTTCACTGGCACCAGAGTGTTCACCCACTGGGAGATAAGTTTGTTTTCCTGCCGTGAAAGGGTCAAAGCCGCACCCCGCACACTCTCCCCCACTGTTCAAATCTGCTCATCCACTTCCTGTTTTCATTTCTCGGGTCAAGACCAATCAACTCGTCTCGCTGAACCTTTGTACATGACAGCGGCGTGCCAAAACGTCTGCTGTAAACAGAGTAACAATGTGGACTTCCTAAAGCTGGAGGCACTGTGGCAGGTGCTGAGGACGTTTGCTGAAGCCAGAGCCAAGAATAAGGCTCAAATGGCATCAATGGAAAGCAATGACGTAGGTAGAAAATGTTGGCCATTTAGATTGTTTAGAGGAAAGATGGGCAACCAGACAAAGGCGACCTGTCCTCAGAGCTCGCCACCTTTTTTAACCCTTGTGCTATCCTCGAGTCAAATTTGTTTAGAAAAAAAGCTGAATCTTGATGACTTGACAAGCCCTGGGTCATTTGGACTCTTTTGGTCCCTAATTCAGGCTACTTTTCTTCTACTTTTAATCACTCTGGCAAGACATTTTGTTCCAAGGAAAGCATAAGTGTTAAATATGTACAGCTTACCCAAATTTCTCAAATGTGACAATCACCTGGGACTGGCAGAACACACACACACACATGTACACACACACACATAAACGTACACTATACACATTGGCACGCGGAACCAGAAAAGAGCTGACATAGAAAGATCTATTGAGTGTGGAGACTGGGTCAAAACCAGAACTCAACAAGGACCAAACCAGGTCTAATTTAGGAGTGAAACAGGAGCAAAAACAGCTTCAACCTCAAAAATGTTCAAATCCCATCCCTCATTTTGATAAACTTAATATACTGTATTACTACTGAGACTTAATAATTTCTCAACTTTCCCTTTCAAATCTGGGCATATCAGAGGGAAATTAATATAATAACTATACCATTGTTGTAGTATTGTTGTGTGTAGCCCAACACAAACAATGTCAGTGAAAAATGTAAAAAAATAGGTATTATTTATTATACATATTGATATTTATTTAACCAAGACAGTCCCACTGAGATTTCTAAATGATTTTCTATAATGTACTTATGAAGTGTAAGATTGTCTAAAAACCGAGGATTTTTTTTTTTCCTAACATGATGTCTTTTCTGTCGCCGACAAAAAAGGAAAAGATCAAATATTGATAAATTACAATGCATTGCGAATCAAATCTAATAGTTTGTCCTAGATAAAACTGGGGTACATCTCGGTTTGCCGGTTGCTGCGAAAGTAGATGGTGGAGAAATGTTGCCCACCTCTTAGAAAAGTAAATTCCAACCCACTTATGCCTCTGCGGAGGTCTAGACAGTGGGCAGTGGAAGTGTTCGGCCTGGATCGGCAAACTGTCAGAGCATTCAACACTTAGTACAAATGGATTTTGGGCCGCAGGGGTGAGTGAATTAAGCGCTCCCTGTCTCATTGGTGTTGGCTGCAGATAAAAATCGATATGATGTGTAAGTTCCTGACCCCTGACACATCGCAGCGATTAAACAGTCCACTTTTCCACCGTAAATTACTCCTCAACTCGAGACCATATACCCGCGGACAGGAGATAAATCGCTCGCAGAACAAAGACCACTCGTTACTCTCTTTAACGCAAATTACGTCCCTAGCGACCGAATGAAAAATGAGACAGGTAGAAAAACTTCAGCTACAGTTTCCTTTGATCAAAGCTGTCGGAGTTTGAATCATTGCACTTATATTATGAGTCAAGTGAATTACTCTCTGGTTCTAAAACATTTTCATTTGCTCATTGAGGAACTTCGACATTGATTGCTGAATGAAAGTCTTAAATGTTTGGATTTATTGGTTACAATTTTGTCAATATGGATCAACATACAGGGGGCGACAGTAGCTCAGTTGCTAGAGCATTGGCCTTAAGGCCAGAAGGTCATGGGTTCAATTCCCACCTCTGCACCTTCTCCATCAACTCCCACTGATGACTGCTGCCGTTGTGTCCTTGGGCAAGACACTTAACCCCACTTTGCCCAAAGCCCCCACTGAAAGATCAAGGCTATGCTCACACTCAGAGAGCAGCCGTCCTCCTGTGGACTCACCACCTGCAGAGGGTCAGTGAGGGGCTGGTGCTATGAGACTTGGGTGGCATCTCTGACTGCCACCCCCCTGACCCAGAAATGGATTACAGGGTAGAAAATGGATGGATGGATGGATGGATGGATCAACATACATGTATTTTAACCTGTTTAACATGTTTGCACACTTCCTGTCCGTACTGTAAATTTCTCCTTTGTGAGATCAATAAAGTTTATCTTATCTCATGTGTGTGAAGTTTGAGACAGTATCTCGACATTTCAATTTGCTAATCAAAAAACATAATTCACACATTTTTTGATATCAGAATCATCAACCCATCTCTATGGAAAAAAGTGGAGATTTACCTAAGATCTTGAGCTGGGTGATGGCTCCGTGAAGTCCGAAGAACATCCACAGCGGCCTGGAGTTGTCGACGCACACCTGCATCCCCACGCTGGTCCCGTTGTGACTCAGGATCACCTCTCCCTCCTGGTTCACCAAAAACCCCAGGATGTCGCCGCTCTGCAGGGGCGCGGGCACCCGGCAAACCGCCCAGAACTCCTTCCGGTCCACCAGCGCCTCCGGGTTGTACGGCAAATCGCTGGGACGCAACACGGCAGGATCGCACGACGTCACGCCATAGGACAACGACCCAGACCTGGCCGGGCTGGACTTGGTCACTTTGATGAAAACCGTCTCGCCGATCCGCAAAGGCCGATTGGTGAAGACTAGCGTGCGCTCTTCTCTGGCGTGCTCCGACCTCGCCACCGTCTGTTCGTCTAGAGTCTTGATATTGGCGCCTCGGAGTTGGTGGAAGTGCAGGTCGCTTTCAAGAGACGAGGGTAAGAGGGAGGAGTGGTGGGAGTTGAGGGAGTTTTGCGGGATGGGGCAGGCCGAGGAGGAGGAGGTGGAGGCCAGGTGCAGCGTGTGGCGGTGGGGGTTGGCGTTGGCGGCGTTGCTCTCGTCCTGCTGGCGGTTGAGGTCGCAGAGGGAGACGGAGAGGCGGGAGTCGTCCACGTCGCGGCGCAGGGACGAGGAACGCACGGTGGTGAAGGAGCGTGGCCGCAGGCAGTCAGGAGGCACTATCTCGCTCTCTGGAAAAAAACACACAAGAGAACAGATGAGGTGAGGATCGTGTGAGGTTTGGAGGTTAGTCAACACCTGGTGTTCCCAGAGGTTAAGTGTCTTGCCAAAGACACAACGACAGCAGACAGTGGGAGTCGATGGAGAAAGTGCTGTAGTGGGCTCGAACCCACAACTTCCAGGCTCAAAGACCAAAGGCCAACTGAGCTATTGTCGCACTGGGGCTGGTGATATGTGTACTTGGTGCAGCTCTGACTACCACGCCCCTGGCCCAGAAATTGATTAAGGGGAAGAAAATGGATGGATGGTTTTCAATAGAAGCCAAAGGTAGTAGGAGCAACATATCGTCCATGAGCACTTCCCTATTAGGCTTCATAGAGGTGGCAGGTTAGCACCGTCCATCTATACACAGTCTATTATCAGTGATCTTGTTAGCCTCACACCAGGTTTATTAGCAGACCCTCCTCAACACCGAGCTCTGAATAAAGACTGAACAAGTTGCTTATCTAACAAAAGCATCTTGATCAGAACGAGAGGATGCAATTTCCCCCCAGTTGTGCGACGCTTAACTCTAATTACTCACAAGTGACGCAAAATGTGCTTTGAGAAGCGGAAATTAAACGGAGTCAGTGGGAGGCTGCTGTATCATTCTTCACATAATTTTGCTGCTTTTGTGGGAAAACCGAGAAGAAAATGACTCTGTGCATTTGTTACACATGAAGGAAGGCGAGCTGAAGGTTATTTACAGTGAGAAAAACAGAAAGCAAAACAACAAGAAACTCCAAAGGCAGGAAATTACAATGCGCACAATGTATGTATTGTATATATCCTGCAATGTTATTCAAATACATACATACATACATACATATATATATATATATATATATATATATATATATATAATGTAAGATACTGATAGCATTTTACGTAAGTATGCTATACTGAAGCCATGTGAATGAGTGTCTTTATGTTTAAGGCTTTACGCTGAGACAATTCAAATAACCTACAAAGCCTTAATTTGAGAGCCATGTGAGTCACTAGTTCACAGGTGTCAAACTCAAGGCCTGGAGACCAGATCCGGCCCGCGAGACCATTTCCAGTGGCCCCTGAGACTAATTTAAATTACTATATTAAATAGCAGCCTTGATGGTTATAGGCAACAATGGCTTGTTATCCATCACTAATTTTCTCAAGAAAACAACCATAACATTTAATTCCATAAGAAATGTCAAGCCAACATGTAATGAGAAGTTAGTATTGTTGTTTTATTTTACGAGTCTTCAATTACATTTCTTCTCAAAGGTATGGAGGAGGATTTCCCAGATTTTCTAAGGAAAGAACCGCCCTTTCAACCGGTCTTATTTGACGAGCACAAATCACCAGAATCGGTGTGGTTGGGACAGTGACAGTTGGGATGAGCAATAATCTTGATGATCCACCCGAAAATCTTCCTATATACCTTCAATATTTGGTCCAGTTTTGGTTCAGTCCACAGTAACTGAACTAAGTCGATCAGAAAAGATTGTCCAATTTAACTAATGTGAAACAAGTCATTTATTTAGATACCTTCAAATTACAAAAAAGTATAATAAATGAAACCCACTTCTTCTTTCGGCCCCTGATCAGCCCTTTAATTTTTTTTCGGCCCTCAACCAAAATGAGTTTGACACCCCTGCACTAGTTGATACTTTGGGCTGAGAGCTGATTGGCTGAGTGGTACCGTGCCAAGAGCTCTGGTGTGTACTTTGGCACACACTGGGGAAGTCTTGCACAGTTTTTCCAATGTGGTTTTACTGCAAATGGCAAAAAAAGTCTTGTATCTTGTGATAGAGGCCAACAATAAATGTATTGATAAAACACAAATTGTTGAGAAAGAGAGGAATCTGTTTTGAATGGTTTCAAATGGCTTATTATAGCACTGAATAGAAAATGACTACACCGTTATGAGGAAATAGATACATTTCTATAAATATTTATAGAATCAAAGTGACTCATCAAAGTAAATACATCAAAATTATAAAGACCATGTTCGTCAGAGTGAGTCACAGAATCAGTTTGTGATTTTCGTTTGATAATCTGAGTTTGGACAATGCAGACTAACATAGCAAAAGAGCATTCAAAATTCATCTCAAAAGTATTAAACGTATACATATTTTCAGTTAGTATTTCATTAACATTATTTGATAAAAAAAAAAAGGAAAAAAAATCTCAACATTTAACTAGAAAGTGCACTAGGAGAGCACATACCCCATCGAGGCCAGAGATTGTCTTGAAATAATAACACAAGCATAAATACACACACACATACACACACACACACACACACACACACACACATTTATATAAACCACATTAGTCTCAGCTGCAACGACAAGGCCTTTTTTCTCCTCTCTTTTTTGTTTATTCCCACATCGCACCTTGTCTCCTTTGACAAAAAACACATTACACAATTATTCAGCACAAAACTCAAAATAAAACACAAAAATATCCCGTTCTCATCGACGCACTTTTTCTGTGTGTCCAAAAGCATTTAGATCATAGCTGGCGACACAGCTCCTCAAAGCCTGAAATACTCCCCTCCACAGGCATCAAGAGCAGACGAAATCCTCCAGCTCTGATAAACCTTCCACTTCCATCCTACGCCTTCTCAAAATAACACCTCTCTCCGCAGCCTTCCCTCTCAGAGAATTAACCCTATACAAGAGACCTGGCTTCTTGGGTGGTTGCTAAGGCTTCCTTCCAGTCCTCTATCTCCATGCACTGCTTATAGACAATGGCCTTCCCCCCACGGAGATACATGTCCTTATGGAGCACGTCATTAAAGGGGAAGTGAGGAGGAGGCTGTAGGAGATAAAAAAGCAGAGAGCAGCTATAGGGGTTGAAGGGTCTGTCCCAATATATGTAAACAACAGATTGTAAACAGAGATACTGAAACTAAAAAGTCACAAATCACACAAAAGTCATATCTACTGCTCAAACTACTTTTTCTTTTCCTCCCCTCAGATAAGTCGTCGCTCTCGAATCTTCCCCAAAAAACAACACCATTTTCAATCACAGCACGACTACCATCCTTCAGTGTGAGTAACCGCACACAGCGACGCTCAGAGCCCCACACGGCTGATACCATCTCCTCTTTTAAAATGATGTTGGCTGTCAGTAACTTGTCTCCTCTCCTCTTGGATCACAACACGCACCGATTCATCTTTAACGCAGCTACAGTATAGGCCTCTGTAATGGGGCTAATTGACTTTTCATAGGGAAATAAATCAGAGAAGGCGAGTTCCTCAAGAGCAGCGAGCAGAATACAGATCCAGCATTAGGCCGCTCGAGTGAGGAGAGAGCTATCTGAACGTTTATATCAGAAAAAAGCACTTTACAAATATGCACTTACACTCAGAGTTGGTTTTATCGACCGTTATCCCACCAGCAAAGCACCACTGAGATTCCAGAATTTAATTTTTCTAGAGAGGCTATCTTGGAAGTGTACTTGAACCCTTTAATAGTTTCCTCAATGGCCTTTTGAGTCAATTTATCAAACTGAAATCTAACTGCTCACTTGGTTGTAGGCACTTTAAACAACAATTGATAAAGGCTGACAATAAAAAAAGTAAAAAAAAAACTAGGGATTCAAACAAAACCAAAAAAACATGAATACAACTTTTTGTGTTATTTGTGCTCCTACATCTTCAAAAAAGGAACATTGCCCTCTATATTGATCATTAAAGCTTTTAAACCAGTAAACTGTGGGGAAGCAGTGGTTAGTATTTAAACTTCATGACAAAATATTCCTGGGTTTGATACTGCGGACCTGTGTGGAGTTTTTTTTAAACAATTTGTTAATAATTTTATCAATGACAGATTTTATAATAACTGACTGTAGAACAACCAAAAGGATTGGGCTGTAGCTACTTGCTTTAAGCCCATCCTGACTCCCTATGTCGGCCTGTGTCGAGAGATAAAAACTGAAGGATTTAATCTTAATTTTGAATGCACTGTGGTTACTATCTTTTTAATCTCTTGTATGATTTTAATGTTTTTGATTATGATGTTGGTGTTTGTTTTATGGGATGATTTGTGCCTTGTGTGAGGTAAACTGTAAAGTGCTTTGTGTTTCCCTGTGTATGAAAGGTGCTCTACAAATCAAGATTGATTGATTGATCGGTTTCCTCCAGGTGCTCCGGTTCCCCTACCACTAAAAATAGTCCGCTGTACGCTTGGCTCAAGGCGCAAAGAAGTTATAAAAGGAGTATTAAAGATCAAATGTTTTCTCATGATATAAAGACAGAGTGTTATTTATCCACAACTTTACAAGATAATAAGGATAAGCCAAATCTAAGACAAAAGTTAGGTACTCCGGGCTTTAATGCTAAATCTCTTTCATTGCAATGTAACTTCAAAAAAAATAGAAAAAGCTGTGGAATGCTTGTAACACAGGCCGGAGTTAAACTAGTGTACTCCTCTCTCCAAACACAGCAGCTGCATCTGTCCCGCACACACATTGTTTAAAGTCCCCTTTTTACGAGTGCCAAGCTCAGGCCTCCACCAATCAGAGCCAAGGCTTCTTCTGCTCCAGCTTTTAAACTGTCCAATGAGATCAAAGGATTTCAGTGATAAAAACTTGCAGGTGCAGACGGTGAAGAGCAGCTGCCTCCAACAGAAAAGCTGTATTTAAACTAACAACAAATCTTCTTCTTCATGGACTCGGAAACTTAACGTTCTCAGCTCAGCGGTGTCTGTCTCAGTGTTTAGATTTTAGAAAAAATATGCGTAAAGAAGTATCACACACGGCTCGGGTTAAAAATGGAATCGTTGGTGTTTGTGAAGCGTGAGATGAGAAAGATCATGGCTTAAAGGGACCACAAAGTCCCCGGGCTGTGTTTGAAAAGTACTCCATAAAAGGCTGTATTTGAAAAGTATTCCATTTCCTGTGTGCGACGCTCATTTGAGTCGGTGTCACGGTGATACGAGACCGGGATGTAAGAGGAACTACAATATTTCGGGGCAGTTTTTTCTTTCATAAATCCAACTTGTTTCACCACAAAATCCCCCCTGGCCCCTCACTCCAATAAAGCCTTGTCTTTTAAATGCACTACACCGAAAAAGTTTCCAGACACAGAGGGGGGTGACTCCAGCTCTCATTGCACTACACGTCAAAGTATTATCAAAAAACAAAAAAGACATTTACATTTATTATTGCGGTAAAATATGGAACATAAATTGATAACTATTGCTGTTCTTTGTTTGCATCAACAAGAAGATGATTTGGTAAAAATCAGGAATGTCATGTGAAAGTCGGATTCTTTTTGCCGTTGCTTTAATGTAGTATTGATAATGGGGAAGGGACCTATAAGATTTTTGCTTCGGCCTTCTCCTTTTGAGCGTAGTATTTTAAAATGATATGTACCAGTAACAAAATACATTGTAAAACTGCTCCCTTGATAAAAGTAATTGAATGAAAAAAAAGCTATGCCTCACGGTTGACTCTGGTCTGGTCTTATTGCCGAAGAATCCCGCCTCGCTTCCCTACGTGCAGGTGGACGTACAGGTGCGAGCTCGTGGGGATGTGACCCTGCAGAGGGCGGGGAGAGACCCAGGGGGAGAGGGCTGGGAACTGCAGGACTTGGGCTCTTTAAAAGTGGCCTCACCGTCTAAAAAAACCTAATGTGCTCCTTTGAATGGGCTTAGGGAAGAAATAAACTACTACTACTACTACCTTTAATGTTTATTGTGTACTGTGGTGTGAGAGACAATATACAGTAGGAGTATTTTATCTTATCTTATCCTATTTGATTTGCTGTGTTTTATGATCTGTTGTGATCTGCTATATTCAAAACGACAAATTCATTTGCAAAAACAGATGTCAGTTTTGTGCCAAAAAGTTCTTAGAGCTACAATCCTCAACATGTTTTCTTATTGGCAGTAGATCTGAAAGGATTTGCTCATGAAGGAGTTTAGACTTAATTCATATGGCACTGAAATAGATCAGGCTTTTCACAAAACAACTTGGTTTTCTAGCAGCACTTATCTCCTTTTGGAATCAAACTTTTGAAATCTCCAGGGACTACAGGTGGGAACTAGAATTTTGGCTAAAACCTGGCACATGACATATTTTCTTTAATCAAGACTCATGTTTATTGTACGTTGTCCCTGGTAAAATACATTTAAACAAAAAGCATTCAGTTTATAAATGGGTTGGCGAATCGACAACTTTGTAAAGTGCTCCGAGATAATTACTGTTGTGATTTAGGGATACACAAAAATAAATTGAATGAAATTGAATTGAATGCAGTTAAATACTTTAGAGCCATTTTTAAAAACTTATTCTGAACCAATTTTGTTCTGGACTTTGATTTCCATTTGATTTAATTAATTTCCATAAATTAGACGACAACAATTACATGGGTTGAAGACAATTGAGCAAATCACTATTTAATAACCAAGCTTTTTGTCAATTATTATGCTAAAGATAGAGACTTTATCTTACTTCTTATAATGCTATTGCTAGTGCTAGTCAGATATATTTTACTTCATTATGCTAAAATTGGACATTTTAGATTTGCTTCTTTAAAACGCTAAAATTAGAGATGTTATACCTGCTTCTTAATCATGCTAAAGATAGAGATTTTATTAAAACTTAATCTAGTATCGAGTTATATTGTTCATCTTCTCCTGTGTGCTCCTCTTACTGTTCTGTGACCGGTGATACAACACTGAAATTTCCCCACTGTGGGACAAATAAAGAAATCTCTCACTGACCATACATTGACATTGTGCCAAAACAAAACACCATCCATTCTTTTCCAATCCTAATAATTAAGCGCCTGTTGAGATAATCCACTTTAGCACATGGTCCCTGCTGGCTGGCACACACAAGCCATGGCGTCCACCCTAGATATCTGTCTTTTATCGCAGGGCACACAGCCATAAATCAGGTTTTTACAGCTACAGTGTGTGAGCATGGGGAGGTTTAGGTGGCTTTGCTATAGCCTCGACACGGCGATCGTTCCAGGGGTTGTAAGAAAAGCCAGCGCAGGCTCTGGGTGGATTTTCTGGTGCTCTGATCACACACTGAAGCCATCGCTCAGGGCTTTATCTTGATCCCAGGTCTCTACACGGCCTCAGCGAAGGTGCCGAGGAAAAGTAGGACAAGTATGATGATAAAAGGGGGTGCAGCGTTAAGGGCAGATATGTGGGACCAGTTGAGGCCGGGTGAGAAGGGGTAGATCCAGGGAGTAGAGATAGATGTGAGATATTTGGATATAGGAAAGTACACCGTCATAGCCAATGGTTCATACTAGTGTTTTTCAACCTGTGGCACTATAGGAGGCCTTGGGATCGATAAGTTTGCCATGAACTCCAGTGAGATTGTCGATTCTAGTTCCTGAAGGCTGAACTCACCACTTAGCAACCACCAACCCGCCGGCGGGTTGTTTTTATGTTTTTAAATGTTCTGCTGGCAATAGCAGATGTATTTTGAACACCAAATTTTAAAGCTTATTTTCTTATCTACATTTACATACAAGTGTAAACTACATCAGACTTTGCATTCAAAAGATATAACACATAATGTGGGCACAAAATAAATCAATTCGGAAATAGTTCTTTACCTTTGGGCTTGTGCTGTACAAATAAATCA